GGCCACTACGGGCTTACCATAGACCGTGCTACTTGCCCCGCTCCTGTGGCAGGTAAGGCCACTACGGGCTCACCATAGACCGTGCTACTTGCAGCTGTTATTCAGAGTGACTGGATATAAAACAGCAATCGGTTCCTGAGTGTCCAAGTGGTTGGGTTCGTTCCTTCCCTCTTAACTGATATCAGTTATCTTCTCGTATCCGTTAAATGTGTTATATAGTCATTTTGGCCTAATTGCTTCGTTGCATAAATTATTATGTGGCTGTAGCATAACGGTAAATTTAGTAGTTCACTGACGCCTGTGTAATGAATATAAAATTAGTATTAACATCTTTATTGACAAAATTAATTCATACATAATAGGTCTAAACTGTAGGCGGAAGTACATATATATCATGGTTACAATCAATGTTTTAATATATGGATATGTGAAAACAACTTTCTATTTTTGAGACCGTTGCTTGCAAAGGTGAATGCACAGAAGACCAGCGAATGCAGGTGTATTGCACATTTGTTGCAGCATTGGTATCGGTTGAATCCCAGGAGAGGTTATCCTGCGACCATTGGCATACATGGACCTATTATTAATTTGTTCTATTTTAGTTTTTGCCCGAAACGCTATGCGTATTAGTGGCTTTAGGTATTGTATGTACTAGCTCTATAAATCCAACATTATGTTTGTAACTAATCATCTATGTATGTACTTCTCCTGAATAAGAATTCGAATTTTGAATTTGAATTTAGCGGGAGCGCGCGGCGAGCGGCCGTTCACCCGGCGATCCACAGGGATGACTTGCTTCCTTCTGGGGCTAGGCTGGGGACCCCAACGCCCTCTGTCTCTTCCCTCCCTCCCCCATCCCTCCTCTATCCCTCTCCCTCTCTCTCACTTTCACTTTCACTGCTGCCACCTTGCCCCTGGTGGTCGTCTCCGGTATATCGTCTTGCGCGGCCTTGGCTTGTTCCGTTACTGGTTTGTGGTGTGTGTTACAGTTTGTTTCTCCACTCTCATCTTTCTCTCTCTTTCCCTCCCTCTTATATCCAACAAATATGAACATAGTGGTGGTGTAATATAACTTCGGTAAGCATTATATCAATAAATCAAGCTTCATTGCTTAAACAAATCTACACTGTGGCTTCAGCACAACGCTGAATTTAGTCAGTAGTGTAGGATTATAAATTAGTACCATTCTATAGTGTATCTGAAAGTGGTCTTCCGCTGGTTGCAAGGTAGACCCCAAGAGCACCAGCAAGTGCAGGTGTCTTGCACGTTGTTGCAGTATCAATCGAATCATACGTAAGGTGATCATACCAGGAGAAAGCACTAAGACACTATGACCCTATGGATACGAGACAGACTAAGCGCTCGGGGGAGGAGAGTGCGTTAAGGCACCATGACCATAGAGCACTTGGAAGGGATATGAGGATAGGATTGAAGCTAGGATAGGAGGGCCGAGTGAAAGGGCTCGGTGTCCAACCACTTGGACCATCGGGGATCGAACGCTTATTTGCAAAAAGTGATGTCGTTGCCATCCTGACCAATCCAAGTAGATGGAGAAATGTGTTCGCCTCGTTGGGTAAATGTGCATTTGAGTTCCTTGAAGACATTGGCACAAAAACTCAGTAAGGAAGAGAAGAGTCCTCAAAGAAACCGGTTTTTTTGCTGCAAGATAATTGGACACTTTTAATTAATGGGGGAACTTTGGGTTATGTGACATAGAAGTGAAAGGAACTTCTCTCTTGTGTGTGTGTGTGTGTGTGTATGTATGTATGTATATATATATATATAATATATTTGTTTTTAGTTCAGAGGTATAACAAAGGATATATGGATAAGGTATTAAATATATGAACACATAATTGAACACACAGTTGTGAGTCGTGTGTAAACCGTTTTGCATTCATAAACAGGGGGGGGGGGGGGTTTGGCGGGTGGATGGAATGGACTTTTGGCCTTTGTTTAGGGGACGGGCTGGGAAAAATTCCTCATTTTAATAAAAGTATGCTCATGGCGGCAAGATTGGTATCGTACAGGAACAACTTACAATCACACACAGAGATCACACTAACATGATGCATCAAATGAACAAATCCACAAGGGCCGTGTCTGGGATGCTCCCGGACGCAGGTTCGAATCCTCGTTACGGTCCTTGTGGATTTGTTCATTTAACTTACAATCGTTGCAGACGTTATGGATCAACAACAATCCATCGTCCTGTTCAGATAGTACTTTTTATAACTATATGCACCATAGTAGAAATATTGACATATTGAGCAATTAGATAGTAGAACTTTGCACTATTCGTCTTATAGATTAAAAAAAATCATAGTTAATTTTTTCTAGGCCTAGTATAGGAAACGTGTGTACTATATTAGGCCTCAGATAACATGTATTAGGCCTAGGAAGGTTAGGTTAGTTTAGTTTGACCTTGCAACATAAGTAGAAAATGGTTTTCCGGTTTGTCCAAATTTAATAGTACCGATTTCTACTTTCTAATTGTGTTGTATGTATATAGTATAGGGCCTTAGTATACCGTATACTAAGGTCCTCAAACCTTCCTATAAGCACTACCGAGACAGGAGGATAGGCTGCATCAATAGGTGTCATGTACGAGAGAATTATCGTGGGAAAAGATAGATGAAGATTAAGCCACCCAAAAGGTGGCACGGGCATGAATAGCCCGTAAAATCATGGGAAAACCAACCATTACGACTATATAGCACTGGGAAGGGGTTAGGATAAATTTTTGGGATGGGACGGAGGGAAAGGAATGGTGCCCAACCACTTATAGACGGTCGGGGATTGAACGCCGACCTGCAAGAAGCGAGACCGTCGCTCTACCGTCCAACCCAAGTAGTTGGGAGGGAAAAAAGTAAATTATTTTCATAGCCTAATGAATCACGTATCCTGTGTGGCAGTAAATAGGAGAAAACTGCATCTACAGAAATATAAATTAAAACATGTATAATATCTGAAGAACTAGATTAACCTCTATGAAATATATACAAGTGTTTAAATCTACAATTTAGAGATTCTGTCACGTGAGGTTCTCTCCTGTGTGACTCAGAATATGAACAGCATCTACACTGCAATACGACCTAAGGGAATGCCTTCGAGTAGGCAAAATTGTGTTTTCATTTTGTCCATAAACATGTTAATACTAATAATTTAACAGTTAAATCTGTGTAACACCATTAAGAAACATGGAGTTACGATACTGATGTGTGTTGCTTCACGAAGTTACGCATGGTTAGTTAGGTTAAGGAGTACTAAGTACTCTCAGAACCGTTGAGCGACGGTCTCGCTTCATGCAGGTCGGCGTTCAATCCCCGACCGTCCACAAGTGGTTGGTCACCATTCCTTTCCCTCCGTCCCATCCCAAATCCTTGTCCTGACCCCTTCCCAGTGTCTCTAAGTACTCTCAAAACCGTTGAGCGACGGTCTCGCTTCATGCAGGTCGGCGTTCAATCCCCGACCGTCCACAAGTGGTTGGGCACCATTCCTTTCCCTCCGTCCCATCCCAAATCCTTGTCCTGACCCCTTCCCAGTGCTATATAGTCGTAATGGATTGGTGCTTTCCCCCCTGATAAATCCCTCACTTCCTCCCTCTTTTCTTTTCCCTTTTCTTCCTGTTTCCTTTTTCTCCCGTTCTTCTTTAATGTGGACAAGGAAACTTAGGAGAAATAGTTAGGATGTCTTCCAACAGGGGCCTGATGGCCGAGTGGACAGCGCTCGGGTTTCGTAGTCCTGAGGTTCCGGGTTCGAACCCCGGTGGAGGCGGAAACAAATAGGGTAGAGTTTTTCACCCTGATGCGCTTGTTCACCTAGCAGTAAAATAGTTACCTGGGAGTCAGACAGCTGCTACGGGCTGCTGCTTCCTTGGGGGGGGGGGGGTGTAACAAAAAGGAGGCCTGGTCGAGGACCGGGCCGCGGGGACGCTAAGCCCCGAGATCATATCTCAGGATAACCTCAAGATAACCTCATGTTGGTTCAAGGGGGGGGGGGATTAACTTCCCTGCTATCGGGTCTTTGGCCAAGCTTCCTAGTTGATGGACTGGTCAAACAGGTTGTTGGAGCCAGCTGCTCGCAGCTTGAATCACAGCCTGGTTGATCAAGTATCTATTAGAGGTTACACACACAGATCACACTAACGTGATGCATCAAATGAACAAATCCACAAGGGCCGTGACGAGGATTCGAACCTGCGTCCTGTATATTATTCGGAAATGTAGAATATAGTGAACAAAATATACGGAAATGGGTAGATATACCCTGATAGATATATAGTGAACAAAATATAAGGAAATGTAGAATATAGTAAAAAAAATAGTTTTTTTTTTTTACTTTATTAATGAAAAGTATTAGTAAATATATAATAATTTCACTGGCAAAGTCTACATACACGATGACGCTAAAGTTTTGTGTAATGAAAATAATATGAATGACTAAAGAGCTTGAAAAATGGAAAATGAAAAGGTGTTTGATAAACCAATAGAATCAAACACTACAAAGAATAAAGGTACCCAAGATGCAAACCAGAGGCCAGATTCACGAAGCAGTTACGCAAGCACTTACGAACCTGTCCACCTTTTCTCAATCTTTAGCGGCTTTGTTTACAATTATTAAACAGTTAATGAGCTCGGAAGCACCAGGAGGCTGTTTATAACAATAACAACAGTTGATTGGCAAGTTTTCATGCTTGTAAACTGTTTAATAAATGTAACCAAAGCCGTCAAAGATTGAGGAAAGATGTACACGTTCGTAAGTGCTTGCGTAACACCGTGAATCTGGCCCCACAACAGCGTGGGTTAATCATAAAGCATTCATTCGGATCATAGAGGCTCGAACTAGTCTCTGGAAGATGAGACGATTTTCCTACCAACCAAGCCATGGGTTGCTCCATGAGTCGGTTGATACGAGACAACAGCCTCGTACTTCTGAGACCAGAGTTCGAGTCTCCTATCATCCTGACAAGTGAAAGGAAATGAAAATAAAATACATGATGAGGATTTCTGAAATTTTTTCATTCAGTGATATAAATAAATTCATGTATGAGATGGTTCACTCAACCGCCCGCCAAGCGAAGGATATCCTGATATCCCTCGTTCATATCAGAGATATATCCTGATCCTTCGTTCATATCAGATATATCCTGATATCTTTCGTTCATATCAGATCAGAGATATATCTTGATATCCTTCGTTCATATCAGGGATATATCCTTCGTTTATATCAGGGGGTATATCCTGATATCCTTCATTCATATCGGATATATCCTGATATCCTTCATTCATATCGGATATATCCTGATATCCTTCGTTCATATCAGATATATCCTGATATCCTTCAATCATATCAGATATATCCTGATATCCTTCATTCATATCGGATATATCCTGATATCCTTCGTTCATATCAGATATATCCTGATATCCTTCATTCATATCGGATATATCCTGATATCCTTCGTTCATATCAGATATATCCTGATATCCTTCATTCATATCAGATATATCCTGATATCCTTCGTTCGTATCAGGTATATATCCTGATTTCCTTCGTTTATATCGGGTATTTCCTGATATCCTTCGTTCATATCAGAGATATCAAGATATCCTTCGTTTATATCAGGGGTGTATCCTGATATCCTTCATTCGTATCAGGTATATATCCTGATATCCCTGAGGCACTTGTAGCTATTCACGCTTCACATTTTTCTGTCGTAGTGAAGTGTGCAACCAGTCCTCCAAAAATGACGTATTAGCTGAAGATACAATTGGTTCACTGTGCAAAAATTCCTTTGCCACCCAAATTTTTTTTAGTTTTGTGGCATTTGAGTTTGGTAGCTGGCATGCTAAAAAAAAATTAAATTGTTTAATCTGACCTGTCCTAGGCTTGAATCAATAATTTTAGGCCTGATATATGCCATTTCAGGCCAAATTTTGTATATTGTGTTCTACTAGAGTTAGAAATGTTTAGGATTGTTGTCTTTTCTGCCTTTTCTCTATATTTAATGAATGGTAGAGAATGGGTACTTTTTTGTGGGAGAAGGGGGGGGGGTTCTGATAGTCCATTTTCGTACGGTTACATTCTTATAAGAATAGTTAATAATAATAGGTAACGGTTGAACAATAGTTGCTATAAGTATCATCGTGTCTGGATGACAGGTTGGATGTGAAAATGTTGATACATTGCAGACTTTAAGATTGACGAGGGACTATATGCAACTGAAAACTCTCACCCCCAGAAGTGACTCGAACCCATACTGCCAGGAGCAACGCAACTGGTATGTACAGGACGCCTTAACACCTTGGTTCTTGCAAGTCCGTATTCAATCAAGTAGGTTTATTGAGAGAATAAAATCAGTCTCAAAGGGATAGAGTAGCTTAGGCTATTTCTATCCTCGCGTTCAATCCCTAATGGTTAAACTGGGTTCTGTCCGTTCAACCCCCCATGATAGCCTATCATTTTTATCATGATTTAACCTTTTGATTACAGAAAAACATGGACAGGGGGGGGTGGGGGGTTGTCCTGACATACACATATTCACAACGTTTGTTTAACGTTGTTTCAACGAGTAAGAATATCCTTTTGGTAACGGAGTGGGTGTATGTGTGTGCTCCGGGGCACCATTCTTGTGCTCCAGGTGCTGGAATAATTTCCATCAAGTCGTTATTGACTTTGAACGAATTCACAAGGGGCCATGATGAGGATTCGAACCTGCGTCCAGGAGTTATTAACGTTAATCTTGAGTTTCCAGGTTACCGGTAGTTCAGTGTTGTTTTCGTACCGTTATCATGGTTTTAGAATCCGTAGGAGGGAGACGGTAAGACCGGAGGGGCGCCGTAAGCAGGTGCTGGTGGGGGTCCGTAGACAGGCGCTGGTGGGGGTCCGTAGACGGGTTTTGGTGGGGGTGGACAGTAGGTGACGTACTTCTCCTGGGTCTTGACGGCAGTGATGTACTGGGGTACCACCTGTGTCTTGTAAGCCGTCTCCGTCAGGTACTGAACTTTGGTCACGTACTGAGGCTTGTACTGAATCTGCGTCTGGTACTGGATCTGGGTGGTTGTGACGTACTGGGTCTGGTAGGCTGTCTGCGTCACGTACTGCGTCTTGTAGGCCGTCTCGGTGACGTACTGGGGCACGAGCGACGTCAAATAACGATTGACGTACTCCGTCTCTGTGACGTACTGCAGTTGAATATCGGTTTCAGTGACGTACTGTGGGACGAATTCAGTTTTGTACTGCGTCTTGTACACGGTCTGGTACTGCGTTTGGTACAAGGTTGTGGGTACTAGCTGCGTCTGATAGACGGTGGTGTACACGGGTACCTGTCGGATGCAAAACATCAATGAGACAATGATATCCTTCAAGCCGTTCTCGCACTTTCTTACAGTCAATATTGACTTATTTAATACGTGCATATGTGACATACTAAACAAGTCAATATTGACTTACTTAATACGTGCATATGTGACATAGTAAACATACTAGTTTACCTTGAAAAGCTTCATAGAAAACACCGACCTTACCTAACCTTCTTAGTATGTTAAGATAAGCATCTTATTGCTTCGTAATTACAATTATTACTTAACCTATACCTATAATAGGTATATTCATCATTATATTCATCATTTAATTATAATTATACTCGCTTTTGTATCTAGATTCACTTAATAAAAATTTTGTAAACGTTTCTACTTAACAGTAAACACTAATATACTCAGTGACATTAAGAGTATGTGATATATCTGAGAGAATAAATGAGGATCTGCAATGGAATCGAACCAGCGTTCCTAGACGCCCCAGATGCATCATAGTTTACTCAGTGCGTGTGCTGGGAAGTTCAGGGACGAGGGTTCGAGCCCATTGTACTGCTTCAATATTTTCTCGACACCGATATAGCCAATGATGCCAATATGATATAGCTTTTGACATTTTTAGGACCGGCTCCAGTGACGTGTCACCGGCTTCCTGTCCCCAGTGAGGCTACTAGAGAGAGAGTGGCCCTCGGGTAAATTCAGGTGAGTGTACTGGCTTAGTGTTTCTGGTAGTTACTTTGCCTGACGACCTTGGTTCTTGCAGGTCGGTGTTCGATCCTAGATTGTCCAAGCCTCGTATCCCAGCTCCTTGACATCATATCCCAGCTCCTTGTCCTCATATCCTAGCTCCTTGGCCTCGTATCCCAGCTCCTTGTCCTCGTATCCCAGCTCCTTGGCCTCATACCCCAGCTCCTTGGCCTCGTATCCCAGCTCCTTGTCCTCGTATCCCAGCTCCTTGTCCTCATATCCCAGCTCCTTGTCCTCATATCCCAGCTCCTTGGCCTCATATCCCAGCTCCTTGTCCTCATATCCCAGCTCCTTGGCTTCATATCCCAGCTCCTTGTCCTCATATCCCAGCTCCTTGGCTTCATATCCCTTCCAAGTGCTAAACTCTATAGTCCTACCGGCTTAACGTTTTCTGCTTACCAACAAACACTATATTACAACTAAGGGGTAATGGATGTCTGGCCATAATTCAACCTCAACCTCTTAAAAATCACTATGTAATTAGTGCAGTTATCTATACCATATCTATGGTTAGGTTACATTCAGTTTAGGCTAGGTTTCGTTAGGTGTATTCTCAAGCGTGTGAAATATGGAAACTATTTGAGTATCCCCTAGAATTTTATTTACAGAAAACCAATTTCTTCAGACCATTTCAAAGAAAATGAGTTAAGCGCAGACTCTTCATATTTTAAACCAATGATTTATAATACAGTAACCTTATAACTTCCTGCATGATAACCTAACTAATTCTTGACCTGTACTATGAGGGGGTATTAGCTTACCTGTTTGAGCTTAGTCACATATTCCGTGACATATTTGGTTTCTGGATAGCACGGGGCGGGAGGTGGGCCGTATACTGGAGCAGGTGGGCCGTATACTGGAGCAGGTGGGCCATATACTGGTGCTGGAGGTGGGCCGTAGCTTGGGATTGGTGGGGTACCGTAGCCCGGGGACGGAGGCAACTCAGCTACGCACAGCCCAAGGCTCACCAGCAACACGAGTCCCAACATCATCTGAAATATCAGGTTATAAGGCTTAATATCTTACTTCTTTACTTTACTTTATTTCTAGTCTGACGCGACGCTTGAACGCGTTTCGTAATAACTTATTACATTTTCAAAGACTTTAGTTTACACACACACACCTGTAACCTGAAAACACTTAACAGAGTCATATTTATACATTAGTCGAAGTTGTTTATGTGAATTCTCTCTTTTAATATTGAACATTTAGGTTTGAGCGTTTCACCTAATTACGCTGCAAACACGAAACGTAACTGTTCCTATTTTCCACTTGTTACAACTTGTAATAAAGTTGTTACATCTTGGTATAACGTTTTTACAACGTATTAGAACGTTTTACAACGTATTAGAACGTTTTTATAACGTATTAGAACATTTTATAACGTATTAGAACTGTTTATAACGTATTAGATTCCATTTCAATGTTTCCGATTTCGTTGATAAATTGTATTTTCATAAATTTCGATTTATTTTAATTTTGATTTAATTATTTTGTGTGAAATTTTGTGTGCCTTGGAATTGAGCTGTGTTGTTTACCATACCGTTCATTTCGTGAGTATAGATTTTTTTTCTTTATTTTTCATTTCGTTTTTTTGAACTGTTTTTCTTATATTTCAGTGATGGGAACATCTCGGGCCAGATTTCAAAGCAGTTACGCAAGCACTTACGAACGTGTATATCTTTCCTCAACCTTTGACGGCTTTGGTTACATTTATTAAACAGTTTACAAGCATGAAAACTTGCCAATCAACTGTTGTTATTGTTATAAACAGCCTCCTGCTGCTTCGAAGCTCATTAACTGTTTAATAATTGTAAACAAAGCCGCCAAAGATTGAAAAAAGGTGGACAGGTTCGTAAGTGCTTGCGTAACTGCTTCGTGAATCTAGTCGCAGATCATTTGATATTCCCAATTTTCTGATGGGAACATCAGATCATGTGATCATCAGACGAGGGAGTTGGGGATAGTGGGAAGGACGAGGGGACGTTGGAATGGAGGATGAAGGGGAGGAAAAAGGGACGAGGGAGTGAGGAATGGTTGGGAGGACGAGGGGACGGGGGAAGATTGCTGTGGCTCAGTATCGCGTACCACAGCAACGCGTGGCCGGGTACAGCTAGTAATAAATAATAATACTAATTCATTGTGTCGGGGGAAAGGAAACCAGAGTATATTCAAACACGTTGTGGCTTATATGGCGAAGATGCACAGGTTTCGTAAGTGGTTGTATAAATGATTAATCCCGACCCTGGTTCATGGACGATGGTACCATATCTTGAGATGATTTCGGGGCTTTAGTGTCCCCGCGGCCCGGTCCTCGACCACGCCTCCACCCCCAGGAAGCAGCCCGTGACAGCTGACTAACTCCCAGGTACCTATTTACTGCTAGGTAACAGGGGCATTCAGGGTGAAAGAAACTTTGCCCATTTGTTTCTGCCTCGTGCGGGAATCGAACCCGCGCCACAGAATTACGAGTCCTGCGCGCTATCCACCAGGCTTCGAGGCCCCCAAGGGACCATACCCTGGTCCCTTAGTCCTAAATGGTTCATAATATGTTGCGTTGAATTTCACTAAAATACCTGAATGTTACGTGTGCAAAAACTAGCAGGAGACAAAGTAGGCTGAATCGAAAGGGAAAGTGATCCAGTTAGGTGACTTTAAGGGTGTGGAGGGAGGCAGGTGGATTGGGTGAAGGGGGTTGAGAGGGTTGAGGTGTGAGGGGTTATCTTGAGGTTATCTTGAGATGATTTCGGGGCTTTTAGTGTCTCCGCGGCTCGGTCCTCGATCAGGCCTCCATCCCCAGGAAGCAGCCCGTGACAGCTGGCTAACACCCAGGTACCTATTTTACTGCTAGGTAACAGGGGCATAGGGTGAAAGAAACTCTGCCCAATGTTTCTCGCCGGCGCCTGGGATCGAACCCAGGACCACAAGTCCAGCGTGCTGTCCGCTCGGCCGACCGGTTCCTGTGGCGGTCGGCCAATCGCCACCCTCCTCCTCCAGGGTGGCGATTGGTCAGACACAAGATACTAAGCCACGCCCCTATAACTGGATCCGAATCTCCCTTCAAATGCTACAAAAAAGTTAATGGCCCGATGCCGTAAAGTTAGGACCGCGGTCAAACCCGAGCAAGAAGTTAATGTCTTACGTCCTATGAAAGGATTGAATTGTTCCCTAATAGGATATGGGTTTTTTCCCGTTGTTAACCTTGCGGGGAACGGGAGAATGGAAGAGGCAAAATTCAGGTTACGGATCAAGGTTCCTTACATTCAGTTTAATTGGAAAGCGAAGTGGGCATTTAGAATGGGGCATCTCTTTTGTTCTCGAGAAAAGGTCGGCTGTTAACAGATGGGTAACTTGTACCTCCTTTCACGAAGACTAACTTGTGAAAGGGTTCTTAAGTGAAACAAATATTGAGTATATACGATGGGATCGAACCTGTGTCTCTGGCGACACGCGCCTACCGACTGTGGACCAAGATGGGCTAAAAGTACCTTAGCTGGAAGTACTGTCTTGAGTTGTATGGTATTTGGAAAGTCAGCTGGTACCAAAGCCCGAGTTTAACGAGGTACTGCCTACCTTTAGGTACCCGCCCTCCCTCGAACCCGCCCTCCCTCGAACCCGCCCTCCCTCGAACCCGCCCACGTTCGGGTACCAGTAATAAAGTGCCGTTAAGTTGACCAGACCACATGTACTAGAAGGTGAAGGGACGACGATGGTTCGGTCCGTCCTGGACCATTCTCAAGTCGATTGTCGACTCGCATAATCGACTTGAGAATGGTCCAGGACGGACCGAAACGTCGCACCCCATACTCATCCTATGAGCGGTAGCGCAAAAGCATTTGTGCCCTCTGTAATGCTTTTGCGCTACCGCTCACAGGATGAGTATGGGGTGCACAATAAACAAGCCGCCTTCGGCGGCAACAATCACAAATCAAATCGTCGTCCCTTCACCTTCTAGTATGTGGTCTGGTCAACATACTTCAGACGCGTTATTGTGACTCCTCGCCTGCCTGGTCGAGGACCGGGCCGCGGGGACACTAAAGCCCCGAAATTATCTCAAGATAACCTCAAGAAGATGCTTCGTCTCGTTTCCGAACGCTGGTGATAATGTAGACGTTTTCTGCGTGAAATGGTCACTACCACCACCACATTCTCTTCCCAACATACGTCAGACCAGTTCCCGAATATGCAGCATCTGCGCGGAATCCTTATTTCTTTAAAACACAAACGAAGCTTGAAAAAGGTCATTAGTATGCACCAAAGGTTTGAGCTACGAGGTTATCTTGAGATGATTTCGGGGCTTTAGTGTCCCCGCGGCCCGGTCCTCGACCAGGCCTCCACCCCCAGGAAGCAGCCCGTGACAGCTGACTAACACCCAGGTACCTATTTTACTGCTAGGTAACAGGGGCATAGGGTGAAAGAAACTCTGCCCATTGTTTCTCGCCGGCGCCCGGGATTGAACCCGGGACCACAGGATTACAAGTCCAGCGTGCTGTCCGCTCGGCCGACCGGCTCCATAACAATTCAAGTAGTTAAACCACTCGACCCTGGGAGCAGATACAAGGGAGACATGATCACGACATACTCTGGGAAGGGAGACATGATCACCACATACTCTGGGAAGGGAGACATGATCACCACATACTCTGGGAAGGGAGACATGATCACGACATACTCTGGGAAGGGAGACATGATCACGACATACTCTGGGAAGGGAGACATGATCACGACATACTCTGGGAAGGGAGACATGATCACCACATACTCTGGGAAGGGAGACATGATCACCACATACTCTGGGAAGGGAGACATGATCACCACATACTCTGGGAAGGGAGACATGATCACCACATACTCTGGGAAGGGAGACATGATCACCACATACTCTGGGAAGGGAGACATGATCACGACATACTCTGGGAAACACACAAGACAGACAAGTTAATATTGATGGCTCACTAACAAGGAGTCACAGATTATAAACCAATTACCCAAATGACACACAAATCATTAAAAAAAGAAAAAGTTGTTGCATATCAGAATAGTGAATCATTGAATGCAATACGAAATGAAATACGGAACTCCACCACAGCATTCGAGACAACAGATTCCAATTACCTCTGGAGCCTATACACCTGCTAATTAAGGATTGAGAGGCGGGACCCAAGAGCCGTAGCTCACCCTTAAACACAAGAAGTGAAGACAGGTAAATAATTCTAAATTTGACTTCATATAAAGGTGGATTTGACTTCATATATCTGCCTCAAACCCGTTTGAAAACCAGTATACTCTTCAGTCTACTTCCATTGCTTCATCCTTGAGCAGAAATGCAAACAAAAAAATTCTGGACTAATATATATAATAAACAGAAGAGACGCGTGTTGCGAAATTTGTACTTTCTCCTCTGTTGACCTTTAAGTATGACATGACCGGGGTCGGGTCTTATCATAGTGACCGCTCCCATACTTTCAGTAGCCTCAATACCCTGTGGATCATACTGGTGAGAGACTATTAGGGCATGATGCCCGACTCCCAGAGGGTATGATGCCCAATGCCCAGTGTGTAGGGGGGGGGGATTGTAGGAAAAAAATGCAACTGGCTTCAACTTGGGGTCAGTTCCAGACTTCCTTGTGGATTGAGTGGAATCCACAGGTTGTGTAACTTAATATCGTACCCCAAGGGTAACGTACGTGTCTGGGAAAATCCAGGTCACTGGTTCGAATCGCCACATTTGCTGTAATTGGTTTTATCTATTTATGTATTATTTGTTTTATAATATATCAAATTATCTGTATGATGAATCACACACACGCAGGTATGAATCTTTCGCGATGCATTTAAAGTAGGCAACTCTTTAAGTGAAACTTATTCTTTGATTATAAAATCTTGCTACAGTACATTTCTGTATGGGCATCAAAGCTTATACGTCTTGTAGATATCAAGAATATATGAAAGATTAATCTCTGAAAGTTGCCTTTCAAAATCCTAAAATGTGATCTCAATGGCACATATAGATCATGAAATTATTCTGAAATAGTT